CGGTTCTAGTGAAAATTCATGTTTTTCTTATATTTTCTTGACTTTAGTTCTCTCACTTTTGTCTCACTTTTGTCTCACTTTATATCCCATATTCTATCTTTTTTTACCCCTCATGCCTTGATTTTTCCCATCTTTAGTATAACTTCACCTCATGCTATTTGAACGGCGAACCACCGTTGTCTTCAGGTGCGATTTTTCGTTTCCGAATAATAGCTATCGACCCAAAAACTCGACAAGCTCTGTTACCACCCTCCGATTGGTCAGCCCCCGTCTCCATGGAGCATATTAGCCCCGTTGAACCTCCTGAGATTGAGGCGGTCCGAGCATTAGTGAGTCCTTTCTGCTTTCCATACAGTCGATATAGTTCATTTGGCATAGTTATAGTTTTACTTTATCCTTTAGGGTAGACTTCGTAAAATCCCTGTCCTCAGCATTTGTGGATTAGGCAGATGCTGAAGCCTACAATGCAGAAAGTTTGTTTAAATATAGGTGAAAATTCTCCTTTTTGTGTTTTAATGAAGATTCACCGTAATTTAACATAATATTCTTCTATGACATTCAGATTAGTGCCTTTATCTGCTATATCTTAACTGGAATAAGTTACAACTGGACTTTCTAGTTTTCATGGCTGGGTTTATATAATGGCATAGTTGTTTGCTTTCAGTGTGTTATTTGGCTTTCTCTTAAACGAATTTCTATAACTTACCTCATCCACCCAGCGCTTCGGAGAAACTTAGAAACGGACTCTTGAGCCCCCAGGCAAAACACGTTTCCTTTCACTTTAAATCCGTAACTATTTTATTCCAGCCCTATTACTATGATAATGTGATGAAAATTTTAATTGGGGATCATTCCTCTACGAATATTCCTTGCCTTTCGTGATCGTAGCTGGTGACCATCATGTAAAATCATAGCTTACTTTTTATTTTCCTAGATATGTAGGATATTTGGTTTAATCTATAAGTCTGCACATCTAACGGCTTCATTCATATCTAGGTTTTATATAATTTTTGAGAAAAATCTATTTGAAATTAAAATTCATTTTACTCTGGTTTATGCT